GAGGGGGAGGGGGAGGGGGAGGAGGGGTTCAAAACATCATGCAGTATATATAATTGCAAATTCTAAGCTATATATAAAGAATATTAAGATTGTGACTATATATAGTACATACTAAAATGTCACTAAATAAACGTCGTCGTATTCTAGTGCTTTTACCTAGAACAAAATTAGAGACATGGGGGGACAAAAATAGTGAGAAGTGAAGAGAGTGACATTTGTAGAAAGATTTTATATTGTGATATGATTCAGAAAGGGATATCCTCTTAATTAATTTGGCATTTTATTTCAACTTGCATTAATATAATGGTACGAATGGTTAGGTTTTGCTTGTAAGTTTGTAACCCCTACTAATATTATTCAATATGAGGGCACGTGTATAATTTGAAAGCAACAATTCTATAAGAATTAATGAAATTAACTACAATCCAACAACTCCTAGGAAACTTCATAGCAACTACATGTAGCTAGCTAGGGTGTGATTGATACTAAGGAAAATTGTTTTTTTTTTACATAGGGACACATTAAACGGAGATCGATATACATGATTTCATAAACTCTTAAATGAAGATAAGAATATTGTATTAGGTAATTTATAGAATATTTTTCGAGAGTCATCAAAATTCTGAATATTATAGGTGTATTAAGTGTTTGAAGTGGAAAATTAATTGGGCTAATGTCATTTTCAGGACAATTAGAATGCCCAAAGAATGGGTGAAGTATAATGATCCAGTTGTAATAAGGGTGATCTTTTAAATTATAATAACTATAGGAGCATCAAATTACTAAACCACATTGTGGTTGAGATGAGGATAAGGATCAGAAATGTAAGAAACGATTCGGATTTACGTTGGAATGATCGACAACGAAAGTATTGAAGTAGTATATAGGGAGAGGAAAAAAATTTATGTTAGATGTTCATCAACCTAGAAAAGACATATATATGACTAAGTCCTAAGGAAGGTTTTATGTAGATGTTTGGAGTCTAGGGGTGTACAGTCATATATTAGAGTGATTAGGTATATGTACGATGGAGCGAGGATAATGGGAGGAGACTCGAAATACTTCCTAGTCAAGATCGGGTTGCACGTCCACGATCATCTCTGATCCCATTTTTATTTGTCTTGGTGATGAATGAATTGACACGATATATTCATCAAGAGAAAGTACATACCATAGTGTATATTATTTGCAGACGACATAATATTGATTGACAAGGCACACAACGAAATTAACAATAGACTGAAGATTTGGAGACAGACCCTAGAGCTTAACTGCTCCAGGATGAGCATGACTAATACAAAATACATGAGTGTGAGTTTAGTGTCGCATCACAGGAGAGGATGAAGAAGTGGAGAGTGATACACAAGTCATCTCTAAGAGAAGAAAATTTAAATATGTTGGATCTGTAATACAAGGAAATTAAGATCATATCGAAGACGTCACACTTCGTATTGAAAGGGGTGATTAAATTGATGCTCACATTAGGTGTCCTATATATGATAAAAAAAAATATATATATGTCAACGAGATTTACATGTAAGTTCTATTGAGTGCATAGTTGTTAGGTTAATTATGTTATTGCAGTTGGTCGGTCTAAATTAAATTCACACGTTCAGAAGATGAAGATAGTATAATGAGAATGCTCATCAGAGGAATATATGTACGAGAAAATTAAATATATTTTTAAGTAAATAATACACACATTTGAAGTGTATTAATTGAGTAGCATTATTGTATAGGGACCATTTTGAGGAAATTTCGCAGAATTGTGGTCTAATTCTTAAAATATGCATACTACAATTTATGGCATGAATAAAACAAACAAAAAAAGTACATTATAAATGATCATTAAATTTGGCAGCTAACTTCAATTGAGTTTTTATATTCACTTCAAGTAACTATTATAAAAATAAATGAAATTCCACCTCTATTGATAGTTAAGTAATGAGTTTAGAATGATATATTAATCCCACCGATAAAAATTTTGGTGGAGTGGTAAGTACTCCTTCATTTATAACAAAAAAATCTCGGGTTCAAGCCCCCTTTTGGTACAGTGTCATATTTGTTGGGAAGATCAAATCATGCTAATTTATCTTAGTTAAGTTAGTTATATAAAATAAGTTAGAATGTTATGCAAGAATAAGTTAGAATGTTATGCAAGATAAAATGTGAAATAAAAATTTATATTAACTACACAACCAATTCTCTTAGAAACATTTTAAAATGTGAAATATATCCGAACAAACAACACCGTTATAACGGCATGACCTAGTAATGGAGTAAAAAATTACCAAGAAAAATTAAAATATAAAGAAGTAAACATACATAGATAAACTAAGGGATTTAACATATATTTATATACATAAAAAGAAAATTTTATCTATTGTTGGAATAATTTTTCAACGAAGAGGTATTAGTTGCAGGTAGAGCCGTCAATATGGGCTAGGCCTGTTGGGCCGGCCTGCCATATCCCGTGATTTAATAGGTTTAGGCTAAGATTTTTGGAGCCCATTTAAGAAAATAACATTTTAGTCTAACCTGAATAAGTTTGCTGATTTGTGGGGCTTGAGAAATATGAGAAGGGCCGGCCTGTGGGCCAAATAAAAATTAATTAAAAAATAAAAATAAAATTGAGTATTAAAAATAGAAAGAGTCAAACTCAAAATCTATTTAAAGTTTTACATATTAAAATTTAATTACAAATTATGTTTATAAAATATGTAATTATGTAATACATAAAATAAAATTTTCCTAAAATTTTTAGGGAATCACCACGTAAGCCGTAGCTTAATTATTTACCGACAACCATATTCTCTTAGTAGTTTACCTTTTCTTATAAACTACATAAGAATATGAAGATGTTAAGACAAACTTGCCACAAGTTGATTCAGATGTGCTCGATGAAGATGATGCTTTGGTGTTAGATACGCCATCAGTTCCATGATTTTTTTTAAGGAGTTTATTTATCACTTTTTTATGGATGGAATATTGTCATATTTTTTGTGTTTTATTGTGATCATTGAAAAATAATTAAGTTGAAATCAAATTTAATAAATATTATAAAAAATAATTTTATTTGTAGATTTGATTAACAAGTACTAACACTTACACATATAATGATTAAAAATAAGTAATAATACTAACACCATGTAGTATTATCTTGTCGATATTCATGATAATATTTTTAAATTATAATTTGATTTAAGAAATTATAAAAATATACTTTTAAAAAAAAAAGTGGATTGGCCCGGCACAACCCGTAGCCCGCGTACTTGTGGGTTGGGCTGGCCGTTTTCTGGCCCACAAGAAAAATGAACCAGCCCGACCTGACCCGTCAAATTTCAAAGCCGGTATAAATTAGTCCGGATAAGATGGGTTAGCCCATATTGACAGCTCTAGCCGCAGGTAACTACAGATTGATAATTAGAAATTCAATGTCCAAATTAAATACTTTTGTAACTTTGAAGTTTGACCTTTGTACTCTCAACACAGAACTTGTCCTGCAACTTTTGGCTGCTTAATTCACACCTGTTTGCTGCAAGTGCTTTGGTTACAGATTATGATACAATAGTTACAGCAATAATTTACATAAAAGTGCAGTCTATTGCACTAAGCTCCCGATATGCACGGGGTCGGAGAAAAGACCGAACGACAAACATCTATTTACATAGAATCATTGATACAATTCTACTGTTACCAAAACAAAATCTTCATGAGTCTCCTTTTTTTTTTTATTGAAAGAAAAGTTACTCTTTCCCTTACAGACCATCCAAAAGGGAAACTAATACAATCAAACCTCTCTATAACGGCATGATTTGTCAAGATACTAGGAAGTTAGAGCAAAATGTTGTTTTAGAGGATATATAATATAACCTAACATGAAAAGCCAGTTTCATAGAAAACTTAACCGTTATAGCGAAACTTGTGTCTAAATCAATGTATACAATCATATGTACAGTGTATCATGAACAAATTATTCTAATGGTTGTAACTTGTAAGCAACAATTGAGTTCAACAATAAGATAGTTATCCATATGAACATTCATTTTCTACAAAATTTCTGCTTCCAAATTTGTGTAGATGATTAGGACAAGCTGAAAACGTACCG